GGATCGAGCAGACGGTCGACCGGGAGTATCGGGCCTGCTTCGCTGCTGCGACCATGACGAGGAGCTGGAGGTTTCGGAGTCTCTTCCTGGAGCCTGTAGGGAGGTTCTCCTTCAAGGGGAAGGTCCGCCAGCAGACCAACAACTTCGGTCAGCTCTTCTGGCAAGCCTCGAGCGTCAACGATCACTTCCACGAGTTCTTGGCCGACCTGCTCAAGAAGAACCTCTGCCATGACCTCAACCCCTCCCACCCAGCCGTCTCTCACGGCGAGCAGCAGCTCAGGCCCGAGCTTCGCTTCCTAAAGCGCGCCTCTCTGAGGGGAGAGGTCAGGGTGGACACGTGGGACAACCTCATCTTCGTGCGAGGGCCCATCAAGCAGCCCGAGCGAGCCATCCAGAAGTGCGTCAGGATCTATGGGAGAGACTCTGCCTGCCTCACCGACCTTGTGCGAGCGACTGTGGTGGTGGAGCAGCTGGAGCAGGTGGAGCAGCTGCTGGCGTTCCTCGAGAGCATCTCCGTCATCGGCACCAAGCAGGAGCGGAGAGGAGGGAAGCAGCAGCAGCAGCAGCAGCAGCAGTCTCCTTCAAGTCAGCCCTTGTTCCGCATCGTGCGCGTCAAGAACAGGTTCTCGGACTCGAGCCGCTACTACGAGCCGGAGAACGCGTACCGGAACCTGTCGATCAACCTGGAGGTGGGCTGGGTCTTCGAGGAGGAGCAGTGTAAGTTCCTGCCGGTCAGCGAGTGGGACCTCAAGATGGCTGAGACCCACATCTGCGAGCTCCAGGTAAGACGCTGCCCGCCCCCAGCTGCTGTCCTGCTGTTTGTGAGGGGGAGGGGGGGGGGCGTTGACGAGTGAGGTGCAGGTACATCTGCTGTCGCTCTACGAGCAGTACCAGGAGGGATCCAAGAACTACGTGCTATGGCGCGACATGCTCACCAGATAGCCCAGCTGAGTAGCCGTGGGGCCTTCAAGGAATTTAGCCGTCGCTACCGTCGGTGGCAGTATTGATCTGCCTGCATCATACCGTTCCTGGTGAGCTAGTCACTGATATCCGAGTCAGCCCAGACTAGCCCTGCCCAAACTGAGGGATTGTTACTGTACATGAACCGATATTCATTACACTGTTACTGTATTCATTACACTGTTACTGTATTCATTACACTGTTACTGTACATGAACGGATATTCATTACACTGTTACTGTACATGAACCGATATTCATTACACTGTTACTGTACATGAACGGATATTCATTACACTGTTACTGTACATGAACCGATATTCATTACACTGTTACTGTACATGAACCGATATTCATTACACTGTTACTGTACATGAACCGATATTCATTACACTGTTACTGTACATGAACCGATATTCATTACACTGTTACTGTACATGAACCGATATTCATTACACTGTTACTGTACATGAACGGATATTCATTACACTGTTACTGTACATGAACGGATATTCATTACACTGTTACTGTACATGAACCGATATTCATTACACTGTTACTGTACATGAACGGATATTCATTACACTGTTACTGTACATGAACGGATATTCATTACAGGTGCCTTCTCTATTGCGTCTGCTCGCACTTCTGCTGCAGTGCACAGCGGCAACAGGATGGCCGTGGGCCGCACCCCTGGTGAAGCCTGGCAGACTGAGTGTCACCGGGGGTCACCTCCAGTCCTCAGTCTCGCTCCCTCCCCAGCCTCTCCCTCCCCAGCTCCCTCCCAGGCTCCCCCACGATACTCTCAGTGAAGGCTTATCATATCCCAGATGTCAATCACTGCCTACCTGCCCCCTACAAGGCTACAACAGTCAGTAACTTCAACTCAAGTACTGCATACAACTAGCCTACTACGGTAGTCCATCCTACCGGCCCGTTATGAGCCTCGGCGCAGCACTCAGTCCGACGGTCACACGGACCGACCGTACCGGAATCGGCCGACCGTCACAGTGGTCGGACTGAGTGACGGTGACTCAGTGCCGGCGTGGCACGACTGAACCGCCGACGGTGTGCTCGGACCGCCGGTCCGGGGCCGGCGGCCCGCCCACTAAGATTCAATCAACTTTGAACTTGAAGCCTTTCAACGGTTACGGTTTATCTGCCACAGGCTACTGAGCCGCCGACCGTTTCTGAGTCCGCCGCCGGGCGAATCCGGCCGACCGTCTCAGGTGATCGGGAGTCTGGGCCGCCCCGGCCTCACGGTGGCCCGAGTAACCGTCCCTCCGAGTCACGGTGCCGCAGTGGCACCGCCGCGTCGGAGTCACGGGCCGGCCCCCGGCGGCCCGGCGCAGGGCCGCCGTCGACTCGGTCACAGTCACGGGGGCCTTCGGAGTCCCATCGCCGCGGGGTCGTCCGGCCCGACTCAGTGACTCGCCCGGATGAAACTGGGCCAAGCCTTTGAAGCCTGATGGGTGCAACTCAAAGTAAGTTAAGTTAAAAAGTTGTACTCAAAGTTAAGTTAAAAATCAGTACGGGGACGAGGACACGGTAACTTTGTCCCAACACCCAACACCGGGGGCCTAGGGTAGTGCCAGTAGCCCTGAGAGGTATAGGCATCCTAGGACCGAGACTTGGAAATCAAAGTTTTAGTCAAAGGTGCCCCTGAGAAAAAAAGAAAGCGCACACGTCGACAGTCTGTACCGTGACCTGCTGACCGGAGCCTCCGGTTGATCCGTCAAGGTCACGTTGGGTCAAAGAAAATACCAAAACACAGCCAAATCCGGATGCACAATGTACCCACCCCATGAAAATCAGAGAGATATGGTGATAAAAGGTGGGTACTTTGAGGTTGTGACAAAAAAAGAATGAGAAGGAATGTGGTAAAAATGCGGTACAGTATCTTTTATCCACTCCCACCCCCCGTTCATCAACCCCGAACCTTTCCCGGAATACTCCTCAGATTGTATCGGCAGCAGAAGGTATAGATGGGTCATAGGGTAACTAGGACCCTACAGATATGACCTTATCTTTTGAAAAAAACTGAGTCTTATCTTTAGAACATCTGGTCTTATCTTCTGAGGGATGATTGACAGTTCACCCAGACTCCCCCACCACTACCCCTTCTTCTACTACAACTACCCCTTCTTTCACTTAAAATTCTGGGTTTTTCCCAAACATATCTCCCCAAGTTCCAACGTACCCCTTGCGCACTTTGTATGCTAACCCCTTATTTAGCTCGTTGTACCCCTATGGAGATAGGGGGTTATCCACTACCACCCCTATCACATCATCGTCCAGATGCTCCACCTTCCCGATCGTTTGCTGTGAGGAGAGAAGTACGAAGGTGGGGGTACTTTATGGGGAAGAAGGGGGTGGTATGTAGCTAATTTCTAGGGGATGCGCCGCTTGCCGTCAAGAATGGCAGCGAATTGATGAGTTGGAGCCGCGAACGAAGAAAAACAAAATAAAACCACTTTTAACTATTTTTTCTGATTTTATTTCATGAAGCGATTTGAAAAACGAAACGTTCGAAAATTGTTTTCTTTCTACACCCCTTGCACCCTAGTGAATGACCATGGGTAGTATCTCCGACTCAATCTTTTGGAACGTTCTTGTATCGCAACGTTCCATTCCTTGTCGGACTACCCCACCCTCGCATCTCAAGGAGTCAACAATGGTTTTGCCCAAGATTGTCCTCAAGATAGGAGGGTGGTAGCGGACCCTACCTCTCTCCCACTACCCACTCCTTCAACACCCCACCTACCGCACGTCTAATTTCATGACCCTACCCCCTAATCCTCTTCAACCTTGGTACCAACACAGGTCTTCTCATACCCACCCCTACCTCCTAACAACCTGCCATATCAAATTCCCCTCCTGTTCCCCACCCCCAGGACCCTCCCGGGTCCAGGTGCAAACAAGTGAAAAGGGCTCGTGCATATCGATGTGGGTGGGGTTATCCGATGCTGGAAGATAGGGGTGGGGTAATCAACCAGCATGGGTCCAAAGGCCTTCAAACTTCGTTGCACCGGAGCAATACTGATAAAACCTCGGGTACGTCAGAGGGGTAGGTGGTGCCTGGTCAGCTCACAGATGCTATCCCATGAGGGTAGGGTGGTGTATGGAGGCTTGGCGTGGCAAGGGTGGGTGGGTGATCAGGAGGCACATCTTGGTAGGGGAAAAGAGGGGGTGGGGTGGGAGTGCCAGCGATCGAGATGAGGGGAAAAGTAGCTATGGATATCTGTGGGGTCCTATTGATAGGATGGGGGGTGGGGGTACGAAGTCGGAGGACAACCTGAATCGTGGGTGGGTGGGTGTAAGATTGGAACGTGGGGGTAGTCAAGAGGTCTGACGTCTAGTCATTTGTGCTGGGGTGGGGTCTAAAGATAAGATTTGATTAGTGGGTAGGGTGATTTACCCTACCTATCATCTTGTAAGTATTTGAACAGTCAACCGTTTATGACCCCTCGAATTTAGTTGATCTTAGTTTAAACAACGGGGTACTGTTGGTGTTTTTAGTACCCTACCTACTATCAAATGACCATTGTATGCAAGTACCGGTCAAGGGTCCTTTTGACAGAGGAAAATTCGAAATGGAGGGGTAGGGTGATTGTGCACCCCACCGGCCTGGAGATAATCTGACCCCTCACTAGCTAGTACCCCTTACCCCCTACCTGCTTCACCCCCCAGTTCCACCCCACCCCACCACCTTCAGAAAGAGGGTACCTACCCCTACCCCAGGAAGTATGCAAGCTTTTCTTCCCCCTCTCCTCAACAACTGCTGCTGCTGCTGCTGCTCTTATCTTGCAGTTGCTGGTTTCAAGCCCCTCCTCCTCCTCCCTACTCCTTCTCATCTTCCCTCATCCTCTCATCCCCTCCTCTCTCCCTTGCTCCTTCCTGAAGCACTGTTCTGTCCTCGAAGCGCAGAGCCCGTGAGCATTTTCAAATTCTGCCCCTTCCTACTCCAGCCTCCTCCCGGCCAAATTTCTCTCCTCGCCTTTCTCTTTTCAACTTTCCAAGATTTCGCAAGTACACCTTCCCATGTCTGCTTTCTATCAGACAATGCCTCGATCGAGGGCCCCGTTGCCAGCGATCTCCATTCAGCCAAACGTCCAAGACGGTACATTCTGCATGCCCGTCGTGGTACCCAAGAAACGAGGGCGTAAGCCCAAGCCCGTGGCTGAGATGCAGGCAAAGCGACGAAATGATGACCGTGACAAGAAGAGACGAAAACGTGACAAGATCAACACGCTGATCAAGACTCTCGACTCTCTGGTGTCCAATCAGGCAAACAAGACAAAACAGCAGCAACTCAGGTAGGGACGAAGGTCTAGCTCTTTGTTGGCTGATGTCTCTGTTCCTCTCAGGCCAAGGACTCTCAATGAAGTTCTACAAGCGGTGGTGGAGAGTGTAAAACACTCCAACAACCCTGGTCAGACCGACGGCTCTTTCAGTGCTGGCAGAAGGCCTGGTTCAGCCCCCTCCCCAGAGCTGGTCTCTCCTGAGACCTACCGGGAGAGTCTTGTCAAGTGCCCTGGAGCTGGGTTTGTTTCTTTCGACGCCTCCTTCAACATCCTGAGCTCCAACACCACCATGATTGAGATGCTCATCGGGAACGATGTGCTGGTGGACCTGGCTGGCTGCACGGGGTCGAACCCTGGTTCGCTCCTTGTGGGGCAGAACCTCTGCCAGTTCCTGAGCGAGAAGGAGAGCTACACGTTGAGATGTGCTACCAAGAACTGCGCGGACGCGGACAAGAATGAACAAGGAGTTTTCATGATCTCGCTAGAGTGAGTTGACGATGATTGCGCGTCTTGTCCCTGACGTGCTGTTTCCCAGAATGTTCAACAAGGATGGCAGCCGAGTTTTGATGCCGGCAAGGATCGCTTTCTCTCAGATGACCAAGGAAGCTTTCTTGTTCAGCATGTGGGTCGTCAGGCCGCTGCCTCTTGGCAGCGAGCACATGGACCGGGCCTTGACGAGGATCATGCCTAACGTGACGGCCGATGAGTCTTGCGACTACGAGTGCGTGGAAGACAAGGGCTACTGGATCGAGAACGGAGGGCAGAACCAGTCGGGCCCTTCGCTCTTCGGAGCAGGGATAATCGAGAAGCTGACGAGCAAGGTGCATTCGACGGGGCCGCACGAGAGCAAGCAGATCATTCAAGACGCCATGACGCAGATGTTGAACGTGGAGAGTAGCATGTCCAACCCCTTCGACGACTTCCACAGCGGGGGACGAGACTCCATGACGGACCCGCTCAGTATCAAGGAGAGGTTCGTGGCTCAGAGGACGAAAGGAGGCTCCTTCCAGGGCCAGTACAACCTTGTCGGGGTCCCAGTGAAAGTGTTCACGATCCAGGAGAACAGGTTCAGGGTTGAGAGCCTGTTGATGCAGCGAATTATCAAGTCGTCGTTCGTCGTGACGGGCATGGCGGTTCCCCTGGAGGATGGGAGGTAGGAAGATGAAGACTCTTGAAGTGAAGAAACTCACGCTTGTGCTCGCAGCATCTGGCTCCACTCCGAGCAAGACATGAAGGATGCAACTTCCAACAACTTGGCTCAGTCGGAGAGATTCTTCTATGAGGGCATCTTGTCCTCTGACGGATGCGATCGCTTCAAGTACGAGAAGTTCCTCATCACCAGCGATCTAAGGTCAGCCTCTCTCCTCCTCCTTGTCCTCCTCCTCACGCCCTCGGCAGGCTCTCTTCCTCATCAAGACGCTACTCTTGTGCTTGCAATCCTTCCTTCGTGCCTGTGTCGATGCCTCTCCATCCTCTCGAGGTTCAGAACATCGTCTCCTTCTCGGGTGAGATCTGGGACGACGGAGACGTTCTTGGGACGTACCCGGTCTTCGAGTCCCTCGGGACATTCGAGGGGAAGGTGCTGGACCAGCTGGGATTGAGCTCGGGACAGTCCATCTGGAGCATGTCGTAGAAACATTTTTTCCTCTTTTGTGTATCAAACTTGTACCTGTACCTCACTACATTTGACTCTGCTTGGTTCCTACCAATCTCCCCTCCCCTCAGACCCTCCTCACCTTCCACTTTGTAAACATTTCCTTGTTCCCATAACTCACTACACGTAAAGGTACCTGACTTTTCCTTTCTGTCTTTACGCTTCACCTCTTCTCTCCTCTCCTTGCCATACTTCACGACTTCTCTCCCACAAAGTTCATACTTTTTCCTTCCCCACAACATAATTCTTGACCCCTCTCCTCTCCTCTCCTCTCCTCTCCTCTCCTCTCCTGAATTCAAGCGTGTGAACAAAGTCCGAACTTCACGAGCACAACCCTATGACGCATGGACCCTGTAGTCATTTCGTGGATGCGCCGGGACCTGGTGTACTAAGAAAATAACATCTCCGAATAAAGGAACCCATCTGAATGTTCATGTGGACATCTTGCATCTATCTTGGGTTGTTGTAAACTTTTCTTCGTTCACAATCATGGTTATGATGTTGCTATTATATCTGTGCACTATATCTGACGTCCAATGTGGAACTCTTGCAGA